GTATTTTATTAAACGCAGGTCTTAGTAATTAAGATTCTGAACGATTTGAGAGAATAAAGAGTCGTTTTTCCTATCCTCCTACGACACGCGCGGCGGCAGGAGGTCGGGAAGCGATGTGAACAGAACCTCAAGGGCGTCGGTGGCGTCAGTAAGTAGAGCGGGCCAGGATGTGCCTGCGAATGCGGCGCTCGGAAGAAGCATCTCGTCGCACTTGAACGCGGCGAGAATGCCAATTGCCATTCGCCTTCTGAAGCCAGTAAAGCTAATATGAAAGTAAACAGATAGAATATACCTACTTTGGAGTGCATGACCTGGCCATAAGTCACAAGCGTTCATTGTTATTACTTCTCCGTTAAATGAATATAAACGTCATAGCATGGCGAGATGACGTTGTTTTGATTCCATTGTGTATATCATATTAGTAACTATTCACATTTATCTTTCGGGAGAATTAAGTTCATTAAATTGACCATTAATCAGCATTTTGATCAGCTGTAATGCCATTAACTGCGAATTCAACCAATTGAGGTCTTCTTTCCCTATGAAGAATATGTGAATAACAATAGCAGTTTTTGATTATATAAACGTCAGGTCGGGAGTCGTATCTGAAAGCGGATAGGGATCATATATGACGTTAATAATTATTCACCAATTCCATTCGCGGTGTGCCTTTTCAATTCTATTGATGCGTGTTTGCAGAATGCATAATAAGTATTAAGTGCTTTCAGACCAAACTTGTAATGCCTAGAAACTGTGCTAACTTCGGAAATAACTTGATCGCTTTCGTTTGGGCAGGGGTGGGGACAATTTCCACGATTATTCGCCCTCTCACCATGAATACGCCTATCAGGGACGCGCTATTCGCAAAGGCCTGTGTCCTAGAATGACCGGAAGTCCGTGACTTTAAGTAAAGGTTTGGATTTTAAGATTATTTTGACACAACTTAAAATTTAAGTAACAATCATAAAAGTAGAAATGTCATTCTGCCACACATTTGTTTTGGTAGCTACTGAATTACAACATAAACGTTATTCTTAAGCAGTTTGGCTTTTTGCTGCGGACGTCTTTGCTTTCGTGGCTTGGACGCGTACGTAGGGTCCCCGCGTCGCCGCAGGATTCTTCCGCCGTGGGTCGGCGCCGCGGCGCGCCGCGTGGCCTGATCGCTGCGATCGCTGTTCTTCATAGCAGCCCCCGCGCGGCACTCGGCGCAGCGGAGATCGGCCATCGATCGAGCCTCGCGCGCCCCGCCCCTCCGCGATCCATCACCGCCAGGCCGCCGCCCGGCCTCAGCCGATCGCGCTTCAGCCCCCGGCGTGCTCACTGCCACGTACGCAAAGAAATGCAGATACTTGTAAAAATGATGTGGGTTTCAAGTAATTTTGGGTCGTCGCGACAATTGTGTTAGTCTTTTAACCTTTAGCAGTACTATTGAGATATGAATATTTTATTTTGCAGCAGAATTTTTTATTGAAGTGAAAAATATTCAGCAGAATTTGCATTTGCAAATATTGTACAGTAATCAACAATCGTAAGTTATGATTTTTTTAAAAAGAGAAGGACTTATTAAATTAGAAAGAGATGAATTTAGTTAATGCAAGTTAATGAAAATTGTATTGGAATTTACCAAATTGGAAGAGCAGGCAAGTTAAGTTCCCATACATTTCGATTGACGGTCTTACAATACGATTCATCACACGATTTCGTTTCTGAAGCATATCCCTTCCCTCTGATTCGTGTTATTTTTGTCGTAAGGGCTGGTGCGGCTGCCCATCAGGAGAGACTCGTTCCCGGGAAATGCCGCGCGTCCAGTCCCGATGTGACGTAGCGTCGGCGTCGGCTTGTGCCTCCGCGCTGCCGCGGGCGCCGTCCAGTCAATTCCCTTCAATTGGCTTCAGCTGCGCAAACGAGAATGGCGCTGCGAAAAGATAAATTCTCATGTAATATGATGTCTGGCAATGCGATTTGGAGTCGAGTTTCCAATCAACTTATCCGTAGTGTTATTTTTTGAACTCGGCGTGTTTGCTGCAGGCATCCGTCCGCTCTCGGTTGAATGTCAACTGGCTTTCCTCGCTGCTATTGCTTTCGTGTCATGTTTGCGACTGCATTTATTCGTGAAGCAAAGGAGTCTGCTATATCAGTGATTTAAGATAAATATACGAAGTTCATTTGTCTTAAACGAATAATGAAATACATGAATAGCTTTAAACTTTGATTACTAATGAACTTGTCAGTGCTGTTATATTTTTTTATTACAAGAGCTTCGTGAGAAAATAATTTAATAGTCCCATCCCGGTGGGATACATTTGGAAGGGCGACGCGACCAAAGTTAGGAATTAGAGATAGCACCTGAATTCCAAAAACTCGCAAGGAAAAGGGAAAGTAGTTGGGATGATGGTCATCTAATGACAGACGAGCGATCTAAAAAACGAAAAGCATTATTTTGTAAGTTTTTTTAAGTGATACAGAGAGAATTGAAAGAAACAGATTAATATTAATAGTGAATAAATGTGATTTGGATAATGCAATTTTACGTTTCCTTCAATAAAGTACGTATTCCGTCAATAATATTATCGTTACCTCTCGCGAAGTCCGAATACGTGACCCACACGCTTCAGCTTCCACCTGTCGCCTGGAATGCTCCGCCCCCGCCATGCCAGAGCGCCCAGTGAGGCGACGGCTCCGTCCAACGGGGCTGAATTGAAACGATGATCTGGCCCCCCAATAAAATCAACGTGTCTGTTTCCGCAGTTCGTCTGCCTGCGGTGGCGGAGGAGGGAGGAACAGGCGGCGGATGAGAGACGGGCACGCAGCCCGCGGGTAACCTGGTCCACGGCGCGTATTAGTGGTTTGGGTGGTTGCTCATTTCGCGGTTCATGAAGCGCCGCCGACCGCCGCCGTCGACGCCTCCCCAGAAGGGAGGCGGGGCCGGTGCCGCGAGGCGCCGCGGCGCGACGCGACGCTCCCAGGCGGTTTGCGCGCGGACGATCGATGGAGGGCCCTGCGGGAGCCAAGGGGGCGGGGCGGGGGCGGACGCTAACGAACCGAGAGATGAATCGCCCGGCGGCGTCCTCGCGGCCTTGCTGCAGGCCTCTCCCGTTGTTTACTTATGGAAGGAACCGCAAGTGGGCTCTTCCTCGTTCGCGCCTACGCGCGCCCACGACCAGCATCTGCCCCACACGTGGGAACATGCGAGGGCAGGATTGAGAAATATTAGACCCACGCCGGCGTGGTCTTAACAAAGTAAGGAGCCTTTCTTTCTTTTTTCTTATTTCTTCAATTTCGATCGTCTTGTGTGCCGGCTATGAATGCCATATCCGCTTACTTATACTACAGGAAGACTTGCTTCGTCGAAATTGTCGTGGCTGAAAAGAGGCTGATGACGCGTCAAGTTTGATAAAATGTTGCAAACGTTTGCATATGAAACTCACTCGAAACTTGCATCTGAAAGAGCAGACGAAAATAATAAGAGGCTAGGTCAATCCAATATCGGCCCAGAAGCACTCCGGAGCAGGCGAACGCGGAAGACAAAGAAGTCGCAAAGAAGATAAGTAAATATTGGCTCGCAGAAACAGAGTTTGCCCGGTATTTGCTCCCATTGGCCGCTGCTGAGCTCTTCGACCTACTGCTGCGCGAGTTGCATCGGAGCGGCGCGGCGGCGGGCGGGGTGTTGCGCAGCGGGGGAGGCGAGCGCAGCCTGTTTTCCGCACGCGCTGTTCCGGCGGTGGTGGTGGCGGCCCCCTTCCCCCTTGCTCAACCCGCGGGGGTCTGGAGGGGAAGGGCGGTAATTGAGCCTCCGAATTCGCGTCCGGGAGGCGATTGCGCCGGTGGCCGTAGGCGGGGAGCCCCATTGCGCCAATTGGCTGAGCCGCGCCGTATTTACATACATGTCGTCACTGGGCGCGGAAGTGACCTGCGACCCGCCTCGCTGCGGGGGATGCGCTTAAAGCGGCCCGCGACCTCGGCCTCTGGATGTACTTGGCGCGCTTCTGGGGTTTCCTGTTATGAAAGACAATCATTACCTCTACTTCGAGATTATAGTACGACTTTCATCATTCAATACCCTACATCGAACTTTTTTTCCTAATCTATTTCATTTCTGCAAACACTATTCAGTATCTTTTATGAGGTTTTGGTTTATTACTCGTACACTTTTTACCAGAAACATTTTAAACAGTTAAATTTTTATTACACACTTACAGAATGATCTTTAACGTTTTGTCTTGAAAGTTTGTTATAAGCATTACTACTACTTTGGATCTCGGGGAGTTGGATACCTTCGGAATGCATCATCTGCCTCGTGTAGTATTATTATATTGAAAAAGTTGTTTCTGCTGTTACGATCATCACATTCTCATTTATGGAAATCACCATCTAAGCAAACATTTATGAATCCCGGATTCAATGTTGATTACCAATATGTTAGGCATGTCCAATTGGTAAGGCGAAACGTTAGAAATGCAGTTAGTCAATTTAGAGTCATATTCATGATGAAAAACTTCCTGCCATCACTAGAAAATATTTTCAAAGTGACGTAGTTTCGTCGGAAAGTTTTGTTTTGCATTGTAAAGAGTCAGAGTTCAATAACCGTGATATCCCGCTTGGATAACGTTATATGTGACTAGATATCTAATAGACCGAAGCGAACATAAGTTAGATATCTTTGCAGACAGTGAAGCAACTAATGATTAATAAAAGTAGATTGAACCTTCGATCGTGAAACGTGCTCTGGAGAATACTCACCCTATAACTCTAGTCGTACTTGAAATGTTTGAGATCGTAAATGTTTTGTAATTTTGATTCACTTTCTCAAAATATTTAAGTAACTTTTTGTATGTTTTAAATAGAAAGTCGACCATTTTTTAAATTTTGTTGTTTATCATTTCAACTACGACCGCAAACTGATAAGAATAGTTGGTAGAAAATATACTTTTGTTCATTTAATTAGAATTGATTTGTTGTGCAAGTTCATGGGATTAAGTCTGAAAAGTAGTAATTTCATATCAAAGTTCAGTTACATTTATTATAATATTATTAGTTTCACTAAAAACACTTTTTGCTCTTATCGCGATTTCCATTTCTTTATTAATTAGTCTCAATTGCTCTTTTGAATTGCACAGGACAGTGGTGATTACGACGCGGTGCGATTCGTGTGTTATTAGAAACGTTTGTAAAAAAATCCACTAAGTAATAAATAAGGACATATTCCGGCATGCCATGTTATTGATTCGCTCGGCTGTCGTCGGTCGTCGGCCTCCATCACCGCCGAACATGAACGCAACGTAACGACCTCCCGATTGTGAATGTGACCTTAGACGCCGCCTGTGATTGATGGCCGTGGGTTCCCAGGCAAGCTCCGCTTCCGCCGCTCCACGTCGCTCCTTCGCCCCTCTTGAGTCCCCGACACAGAGAGCAGCGCCTGTTCCGCCAAATTATGATCCAGTTACAGAGGAGTTTGGATTCTGTGTGTGGAGAACCACCAATCTACCCAAAACGAATATCAATATACCCGAAACTCTGAAATGCGTTCAATTGTAATTTCACCTCAACTCCTGAATACTGTCTGGCGGAGCTGTCTTGTGAGTGGGTAAAGAAAGATTATTCTAAGAAGGGATCGCTTAGACAGCTTGTGATTGGCTATTGCTGGCAAGAAAACTGTAGATTTTGCCCATGCGCTCAATTGGACAGTATGTTCGTTAGCTGTCGACTCTGCAAATGGCTTCGACACAACCTCTGGCAATGCCATTGTCCAACATGATTTTTTTTTGTTTCCCGAACCGTCCAGCCGGTCCCGTCTTAGAGTAACTTCCCAACATTAAATAGCGGCAGCCGTTGAGGTCGCCTAGGGCCACGCGGCCAGCGCGGCCGCCAGCGCCGTCGCCAGCGCAGCGAGCGTGGGCGTGGCGGCGGGCGCGCCCGCGCCGCCCGCGCGGAAGTCCTTGCAGGTGCTCTTGAGCGCCGTCTGCGGCAGCCCGCGGTTCACCAGCATCGAGTTGACGGAGGCGAGGTCGTGCTTGGGCAGCGACGGCTCGCGCGCCATCACCACCGAGTACACCTGCCGCTCGGCGCCTGGGTTGCCGCAGAAGGTGAGCACCACGTGCGTGGCCGTCGCCTTCATCACCATGACGGCGCCCTCGAACTGACGGTACCTCTCGTTGGTGGTGAGAGAACCTGCGGGAAGAGGAAGGGTTCAATTCCAAACAATGCTTTCTGGCATTCCGTTAATTCATGTGATTTATAAAAGGCTTCGCTTCACGATGATAAAGCTATTCCAATAGTGTGATTTCTATTTTATATTGTCTTAAATACATCTCGAAAAATGTTCATTTGAAAGCAATAAAGTAATTTGTAACTACAAAATCTGACGAATTATCCTTAACATTTTTAATGTTATCATTTACATTCATTACGTTTAATGGGAAGGCCATGTAGTAGTTTTTAAAACTGCAAGTAATGGTTCGTATAGTGCTAGATATCATAAGGTTTAACTGTTGTGAATTTATCATTTATTTCCGTTCATTAGTGTTCTAATCTTTGAAGAATGCATCTAATTCTTTTACAAAAGAGCCTCTTCTTTATACCTCTGCCCCTATTTCTTATACATTCATTCATTGCGCAAATCATTATAAAGATGTTACAAAAAAGCGCACAAACGCAGAAAAGGTGACTTTCTTTTTGGGATCGGCTTACGAACACGCTCTGAAGTCGTCCGACTGATCACTATTTTATGTTGAGGGGAGGATTTATGGCCAGAATCATTGTAGTGCGAGTCGCCAAAGACTGCCTCCACCATGATAAGAGAAGGACTCAAAAGTACTGGAAAACGAACTATGTTATCATCGATGCGCTGCATTATTTATTTTAAATTATCATTCCCTTAAAATAATAAAATTTAGTGCTGAATAATTTTCCAGCACTTCTGTAATTATTTCTGGTATGCCACTCTTTTGTGCATCCCTGAAAATTGGGGTCTGAGAATCCATGGACTTAAAAACTAGTTTAATAAGATGTCAGTTTCAAAATTCGAAATGCATTGAAAACCTTACAGTAATGAATGATGACTGTCGCAGACACTACTAAAACTCACAGTGGCAAATATCATGCTTGACAACCTAATCCGTTGCTTGTAGCCAGCTGACCACGACTGCAACTAAATTATACTTTTGTGTTCCGAGTTTCAATAGATAATTTTGTACATGTTTTTCCTAATGACTGCCAATGGTTGCTCGGAGGAGAGTTTCGTGTAACAGTGCATATTTCGTTACATTCCTCTTGCCAATTGCAGATTTTCTATAGTGTATTTATTTATTATAAATAAATCACTTAATGTAACGCATAGGAGGGGTAGAAATTCGTCTCTTTATTTTTCAGGTGGTAGGGAATTTCATGATCATTTTGTCGTTATTGTTTATTTTTACTTTCCCGTATACATATGTATAAATGGATAAATAGTATAATAATATATAATATAATAATAAATAAATAGTGTAGGAAACGTTATCTAATGCTGCGCGAAAAAACTGTGGATTTTCGGCAAAAAATCTATTGCCGTGCCCTGATAACGAATTTTTTGTTTGTTTTGGTGGTCCTAAATACCGAAAATCCAATTGAAGGCAAAACTTCCATCCGTCTGTCAGTCTGTGAACTCTACTAGTGCCTAAACCATGCCTACCATTTTTTCCAAAATGAATATTCCCCGTTCGATCTGGTTCCACTCAAGGCGCTACGATTGTGAAAAACTTACTTCGAAATTGGGAAGTACTTTGCTTCAAATCCCCTGGACATTTTCAATTTTTTCTCAAAAACAGCTCCAAATATTTTCTCTAAATTTCTCGTAAGAATAGATTAAAATACTTTTATAAAGAGGGAACAAGTCATATTTTTACAGTTAACTCAGAATTTTCAAAAATTGCAAAATTTGCTGTGCCTTCCTCCAACTACAAAATTGAAAATAGAGATTTTCCCTTCAAATTCAGTTCTATCATTAACATTTACGTTTATTGCCATTTACATTTTTTTGAAAATTTTAAGCAGTTTTCGCGTAATATGAGCAATTTAAAAAAATAATGAAAACAGGATTTCGGTAAGTGTCGTTAACAGACATTAAAGTGCCGTCAACGGCTCCAATTCTTTTTTTAAACTTTTGGTATGGATAGTTTTAAATGTACTCTATGATATGACAGAAACGTCATATTGCTCTATTCTTTTGTTCTTCAAAATTTACAAAAATTTTTTTTTCGTAACTTTGTCTCACGTCGTTTATATTTACGTTAGCTGCAATTTGTTCCCATTATTATATTTATGAGTACAAATGCTTTAAAAAGTATAAAATGCAGTTTCTCAAAAACTCAACTGTTTTCTGTGAAAACTGGCTCAAAATCCGCATTTTGAGAGGTGCTCAATGCTCATTTTGAGAGATGCTTCATAGATGGTTCCAAATTTTTCCTTCACAGTTTTCGAACGGATAGCGCTAATTGCGGTCTTTCATATGACGTAAAGTTCATTTAGGGGTACTTTTCGTTTTTGTTTCTTTTCAAAAATTACACAAATATAATTTTCTCCATATCATTAATATGTTCATTTCCAGCAATTTGTAATCACTATTGTATTTGTGAGTTAAAGTGCTTTAAATGACTCCAAATGAAGTTTTTCGAAAACTCAAAAATGTTGAGTGAAAAAGTTCGAATTTGAAGTAGCGTTTAAACATCATTTTCTTAAAAACAGAAAAAAGGAAAACGGAAAGATGGTAATAGAAAAGTAATTCGGGAAAGTCTATGCCATTCTATAGCACCGGAAGTTTTAGGATTACCACTACTGCGATGTAAGAGAGACGTTCACTCTTGAAAACAATCAATTTAAAGGAGATAAAATGGTTAGAAAAACAAATACTAGTTCAGGAGAGATACTCATATCACAACTATCATGTAGCAATTTTTATGTTTTTTCTTGATTGTGTGTATCAGTATTGGAAACCAATATAACGCAACCAAAAAGTATAAAAACTGAAAAGCTAAAGGTCAGTGTCCATTTAGAAGTTTACTGATCGCAGTCCGTTAAGAACAAATGAAACAACTATAGCAACAGTATCTCTTATTTATGGTTGTTCTCGTACGAGAGTGTCATGAGAAAAATATTGAATAACACTCGATAACACAAATAACAGACACGAGTGATAACACACCTCATTTTACAAACTTCAATTGCTTTCTTTATTTGCCTAAAGACGTTAATAACTATGAAAATTAATATTTTTTCGTCCTTATCTGTAAATACTTTACCGAATTGTGGTCAAGGCAACACTTTTAACCCTATCTTCATTTCCACACGCAGTACACTGCATTGTCGTAGTTTCGTTTCCTGTTTCGCTGCAGACTGCGAGGTCATTCTCGACTCTGTTCGTAGCCAAGTCATTGCAGCGATCCACTCAGTCCTGCATCAATGCCAATTGTGGGAATTGTGTACGCGCACGCGAGAACGCAACAAAGCACGCTACTGTTCGGCAACTGTAGCGATTTTGCCAGCGGACAATCTGTCCCAATGTCACGGAAATAGCGTGTAATGTTTTGGAACCTGAAAGAAAATAAGTGAATTTACTCTCCATTGTACTCGTATAGCAACGAACGTTGAAGTATGGGAAAGAGGAAGCGAGAGTCTCTGGCGAATGCCGTGGTGATAGCCGTGTTTCGTCCCAGAATTAGATGGTTCTCTGAAAAGAGTTGTCAGGACCTGTGAAAGCTTCATAATTTTTTAATCGGATGCCTTTTCGTAAATAAAACAGAAAAAGTCATAAATATAACATTTTTTTAAATTATATACCATTTGTAGTTGGATACAGATGGTAAAATTTAAAGGTTTATATTCCATTCAGAATGATAGTTTTAAATCTATATAATCTCATTCCATAAACACGTAAAATAATACTTAAGCTGTCCTGGCAAAGCTTTCCACTGGTTCGAACGGTTATTGAATTACTCTTGCGGCATGTTACAGAATTCAAGTTTGATAACCTCTCTACGATTTATCGCTCAGGCTCAAGCTGTCATACATGTGCAGGCTCGGAGTTCGCTTGCACTTTCCAGGGCCCCACGCACTTGGCGGCGAAGTAGATGCTCCGATTTCACACAAAGTAGTTTTAGTGGGAGTAGAAAACTTCTGTTTCAGTCCGAGATCTTCGAAATTGCGTCAGAAAATGTGGTGTGTATGTAGGATTTTTTGAAGATATGTGTAGTTTATGTATAATTTTGTGTGAAATATAGGCTCCAATTTTTTTCGTTAAATTTGCCCTCGTATGTATCGAAGAACGGTATAATATTGGTGCTAATTTCTTTTGCGGCGAACTCTCTGTTTTCGAAAATTGCAAATCGTTAGCGTTCAAAACTACAAAATTGATGATAAATATTTTTGTCTTAAAATCTGTTCCAAGAAATCAGCTCTTTGAGAAAGGTCCTGGATATTTTTTTGAAAAACGAGTACTTTTCCGTAACTTGTGTTTAAAACTAAAGCGATTTATAAAAAAAGGATTTTCTAAAAATCTGTTCCAAATTTTGTCTATAGTTTTTTTTCCGTGGATAAAATAAGGAACGCTTAAAAGAATGAAGCATGTCTCGTTTACGGCTAACTCTGAATCGTCGTAGATTGCTTGTTGGAAATGATTGTAAGATAAATAGATTTTCATGCTTTGGCCTAAGTGAGTACTGACGGTCAATTACGTTCGAACTTGTTACTCGAACTGAGTTCAAGTCTAGGTGCGAAAAAGAAGGTTTGCTAGTTGGAAACAAGTTTGCAGGTTCATGTTATAAACTATTGCGTAGCTTTTATAAATATTGCGGGAAAGTATTAGCTGTTATAGCACCGCTAATTTCTTTATTTTTTCCTGCACTAAACATGAATTTACCCTATAAAAAATTGTGATTTCAGTACCATCATTGATCTGAAACATTGTCTTCAATTTGGAATTCGTTCAACATAAAGTATATGCTTTACACGCTGTGGACTTAATATTTAAAGACGCTTATACTATTGCAAAAAATTCAACCATGTGCATATGAGATTATCGTACCTGTTTCGGAAGATTCGTAGTCGACAGCCGTAAATATAAAATTTGCTTGTTTTACATCCATCCAGTTGTTACAACTTTAAATATTCTTGTTCGTTAAGTTTGCTGACGTCTT